CCGAGCGCGCCGGGCTGGCCCGGGCTGCGGCCCGAGGGAGGCCCACGGTCCTCGCGGGCATCCGCGCAGAAGTGGTTTGATATAATCACCATGACAACTGCCGTCTATGAGCGTACAAATAATAGAGATGGAATAGACAAAAGATTAGCATGCCATGAAAAGTACAATAAGTTTCTTATTTAGCATTTAGATAACTGTCTTTCCTTCGGAGCAGGCTTCAAAGTTGAACCCAGTTTAGACCAAGAGGATTAATTCTTTCTCCCGCATGCTTCATTGAATCTCTCATTACCAAACTTTGTCTGTATTGATGTAAGATTTGATTGAAGATTAGAGCATTTAGCAAATCTTGCTTTTCTGCATGTATCAGGCCTTTTCAAGCGCAGCTCGCACTGCCCAGTGGTCAATACCCTTACTTTTATCCAGTGTCTGCTTCATTTAAACTTAATCAACTCCCTCAATGAACTGGAACAGGGAAACGTCCCTGCGGTAAGAATGTTGTGCTTTTCTTAGATAATTCTTTGCTGCCTTTCTCAATCCGCCGGCGTTAAACCTAAAATTGCCCTCTGATGAACTTAATCAATATGATAATGACAATTGGGGCTGAATGGCTTTGCTGGGGCTCAGGGTGGAAAAGGTAGATGACTGCGCCCATTGCCCAAAACCAACTTCTCATTTCGCCTTTCCTTTTGTGTGCGCTGCTCCTACCTTCCTTTCTTTCTTCCCCTTTCTTCTTCCCTCCCTCCCTCCCTCCCCCTCGCAGACACCGGATAGGGCTCACGCAGGAAAATGATACATCTCTGCGCGGAAGGAGGACTCGTATGTCACAGCAAGGAAAAAGTGGAGCAGAGCGATTGGCTGTGTGAATTATCTGGCTTGTTGCAGTGAATTATTTGCACTGTTTCCCTTACCAGTCAACAAGTTTCTGAGCTATAGTACAGATCAATCACAGCTGACAGGGCGCATGTGAAGCTTTTACTGTGTAAATCTGGACCTCTTGTCCTGGCTTCGTTGGCACTGGCATCTGTATATCATTTTTATACTGCTACCAGTAGAGCAATTTCAAAAGTATTTGCAAGGAAAATGGATGTCCCCATCTGTTCCTGGAATCATAAATGTGCCACTTTCGGAGGGTTTTCACTGGTAATCATATCTTTAATGATGAACAAACTTGTGATATATACCTTTCCATAAAATGGGGTTTTCTTCACTTTATTGTGATTGGCTAGGATAAATAGCTTTTCCATATGTTAGGGAGATAAAACATAAGATTACCAGGGCTCGTTTGTTTGATCATAAACAAAAGAAACAATTCACTCCAAACACTCTTTAAACAGAAGCAACCGCAGAATTAAATTGTATTAATAGGCTATCGATGGGTCAGGAGGCAAACAACCTTCCCCCTGGAAAAGACACATATTTTAAAATAGGACTAGAGAGTCTTGCTCGCTGTTCGGGTGACCTTAATGCAGACGTAGATTTTTAAATACTGTTTGCAAATTTTACGGTGATTTTTGTCTTCATCTCTCCCTTTATGCTTTGAGTTCCCTTCGAACATCCGCGAGACGGAGCACGCGGTGCTGTTTAGTGGATCGCCATGTGCTATATTTAGACGTCCTGAGGAACCCGGACTGTTTTGTTGTAAATGTCCCTCAAGTCCCGGCACTGTAAACGTAAACGCTCGCCGTTCAAACGTGCCAGCGCTTCGCACTTGCTGGGGGCGCTGCATAACGAATGGCTGGGGGAGCCCCTGTTAGTTCTGCCGCAGCCCGTGGCGCAGGTAGCCCCAGACCCCCCGCACGCAGCCTACAGGGGCGTTGCGGCCCTTGGCCGCCCTGCGCCGTGC